CAAACTTATGGTTACCAAAGGGGAAAGTGGGGGAGGGATAAATAAGGAGTTTGGGATTGGCAGACACTAACTACTATACATAAAATGGATAAACAACAAGGTCATACTGTATAGCACAGGGAACTATCACTATCTTGTAATAATCTGTAATGGAAAAGAATATGTATGTATATGTATAACTGAATCACTATGCTGCAACACCAGAAACTAACACGACATTGTAAATCAACTATACTTCAATTTTTAAAAAGGCCAGGGTATTGGAAGTAAATTTTAGTTACTAAGAACAATGGCAAGGGATGGGACTGATGGTTGGGAGGTCTGCTAGGCACAAAAGAAGGAGGGAGAGAGTCCTGGAAGGTAGAAGGTAACGCTGCTTAGAGCGATAAGGAGGGAGAGGACTATGTAAGAAAAGTTCATCAAATTAAAATGAGAAGATGGTGGACAAGGGACTGTCCCACTGGAGACTGGGACTGGATTGGGATACAAGGAATCGCAGGTACCCGGCCTCCACTCTGTGCTTTGGAGGAAGGAGAAAAAGCAGAAGCTTCTCAGGATGAGGTGAGGGAGCATCTAGATACCACCAGGGTAGGGATATCAAAAGTGCCTACTATAAGGCTGAGAATGGAGGCGAAATGAAATGCAAGACACAGGGGAAGAGACTGCGGAAGACAGGGAGAGCGGGAGGGGCTACAAGTTCTGGAGAAGACAGCTGCATGTGCAGGGGTGCAGCCTAGTAACCAGGGTAGTGATTCTAACCATCCAGGGGAAGGGAAGCAGGAGAGTGGGTAGTCATTGGAAGAACACGTTCCAGATGGAGGGAGAAGCAGTGTTGAGACACTGGGATTTAGTTATGGATTGAGACAGAAGAAACTACCAGATGGAAATATTAGTCGTATGAATTAAAAAATAAAATTAGATTAAATTATAGCTTCCCCCCAAGGGCAAAGGGGTATAATTCCTTAGAATTATGCATAATTAGTCCTTTTTTTGTTGAAAATGACTAACACCTGGTAATGTTTTTTAAAAAGTTCCAGGTATTTTATCTTAAAGAAGTTGGCATAGTTTGACCTTTATAAAGTTGCTTTCTAGGTTCTGGGGTTTGCCAATCAAGGTACCCAGCAGACTTCATTACAGGCTGCGGTGAGGGAGTGGGCAGAGCCATTCTACTGAATATGTATGAGTCATTGGCCCCTTGCCGACAGAATGTTTCTGTAAGTCACGTAATGAGATCAGCACAGGGCACTGATGCAGACGGAGTGTTCAGGAGGAAGATGATGACGGCCTGCTATTCTATTGCCTTCCTGATGATCCCAATACAATTATTCTCTCAAATTCAGTCTGGGAAGTAAATATATTTAGAAACACCTATCTCATATGAAGGAATGAATCTAAAATGTATACTGACTTCTCTCTTATATCCTTTGTTCTGGATAATGCTGTTGCCTGGTAATGAGACCATAATGTATCATAGGTTAAAAAAACACAGAACATCAATTGTCTTTTCCAGATATTTTTTGGGTGCCAGACATTCAACCCTTAAAGCAAAATATCCAGGATAAAAACTCACATACACATTACCAGGGTGTGGTTGAATTTAAGCTAGAGAAGAGGGACACTTGGATACTTTCCAAAGGGAAAAAAAATCTATTAATTGAACGAACTCATTAAAATTCACCAAAAGCTCTAATTCATAATAACCGTTATAACTTTATGGCCTCACTTCAGCTTTGCAGCAACACATATATAAAAATACACCTCTTATCTATCTGCCTTCTCTTGGTACTTTTCTACATCCTCCTCCCAACCTCAAAAAATAAAGGAGCACTCAGGGAAGAGGTGGATGAGGAGATTTATGGGGATAAAACCATACTGCGATGGCTGTCAGTCAGAAATGACCCCCGGGAAATGCTATTTGATGTATCTGAAGAGAGATAATACATAAATTTAATGTAATTTCTGGATTAAAAATAAACTGTGTGCTAAACTGGGAGAGATTGAGGAGGCCTGTGGCATCTTCTTGTAGACATGTTTATTTATTTAATCCCTAATTTTAAGTTGAAATTTTTCCTGAAATATGTGTTTAACTTCCAATTGACATCACAACCAGCACAGCGTCCTTTGTCCATTGGGCATTCGTTTTTGCCAAGCTCATCACAGAACAAATCAAAACCTCATACACGGAGGTCGCCAGAAATGCAGACTGTTACAAAATTTAATTTTGTCAACACCACTCCTCTGTACAGAATATGCCCAAATGGTAAAGTGAATTAAATCATTACTCATTTTTTCATTCCCTTGGTCTAACTGACAGAGCATCAGTGTTGAGAGGCAGGACTCAGCTTCACTCAAGGGGAAGTCGGGGGACCATGTGTGTTCACGGTAGTTTTTCTCTCCACCGTCCAGGGCCCTCTTTGACTTCCTTGCCCACTCCCTAAAAGAGAATGTTTGAATTTTTGTTTGTTACCTCTTACCGACATTTATTTTGACAATTTTTTTCTGAGAGTCCATCCTCATCCTCTCCCATGATGTCCACGGCTGAGAATATCAGCGCAACGAGAATCGCAAAGCAGCACACCAGGGCGAAGATCACGATGCACTTCTGCTGGGACTGCAGGAGAAAAAGAAGATTAGGAAAAGTCAGCAGTCTTTCGCTGAGGAAACTCAAGATGAGACATCCTTTCAAAGTTCCATGCAAAACCCTTTGGGGACAATTACTTTCATCACTGCCAGAACCGGGCTGCTCTCTAGGTGGGACGCCTAAGACCTTTTCACTGTATTCCTCAGTACAGCCTTCAAACCCCTGCTAAATATGTGAGAACCTGTTAAATAGTTCAAGTGCTGCATCAAGACTTCCAAACAAGTTTGCTCTTCTTTCTAATCAAAAGCAGTCCAGAAAAGATTACAGGACACTTTTGAAAGTTAAAAATGAAACACAAGGTGAGTCTATAATTATTCTGTCCCCTGCTATGATCACCATTTTCAAAACTCTATGCAAACTGCGTTCAAATTTTGTATCTTCTTGCTTTTCCCATCTCATCTTGCTCTAAGATCTTTATGGTGATGGCTTCAGGAAGGATGCTCTGGGTGGTCAGTATGAGTTCTGTGTTTTGGTCAGAACATTGGGTCCATCAGATCCTAGCATGGTGGGTTATTAACCAACATAGTTCATTTCAAAACACTGAGCACAATCTTAACCAGTGTTCATACTCTTCATACGACTTTCATTTAGAACCACGAGCCTAAGTTCCAGGTGGTCAAAGTCAATCATGTCCTTATCTTTAGGCTCCAGTGTTATAATTCAAAACCTCCCTGTTTCCGGGGGTTCACAGTCAAAGGTGGCAGAAGACAGGGCCATGATGACTAGGCAGGAGCCATGGCCACTGGGATAAAAAATTTTGCCTACATTCCATTTATTAGATAAATCCAGATGGGGAAAAGAGGAAAAGGGTAATTTTTTAAAGTCTTTGTGCAGTTGCTAGGGATTATCTACAGAAGGGGAGAGGGTGATCTTTGACCAGACAGCTAGGAGCACTTTCTTAGTGATGGGATACATATAAGCAGGCCCCCCACCCCTGCACACGCACGCGCACACGCACACACACGCACATACACAAATTTCAGACTTTTGTTGAAACCAGCTGGCTTTGCCCTCTCCTGCCACTCCTCTTGCCTTTCATCCCTACAGAATCAACAATCAAGGAACCTCCTGAAGCCAGGTGTCCAAGTTGTCCGGGGGAGGCCTCATGTTACAGTTTACAGAGGAAGATGTAGTCAAGAAATAAATGGTATTTCTGTGAGTAGGCACTGTCAGCTCAAGTGGTTGTTTCTTTTTCGTGTTTTCCAGCCCTCCCTCAGGTCTCATATCACGGCAGAACCTGTTCCAAGTCCACTCCTGCCTGTCCGTGTGTTCTCCCGCTGCACGTTCAGAGAGGACGTAGGGGAAAGCCCAAGGGAGACACACCATGGTTCTCACCAGGGCTCTGTGGCGCTCTGACGCCTGGACTGTTTTCTTCTTTCCACGCCTAGCAACTTGCACAGAGCCAGACAAATAGAAAGTGCTCAAGAGATAGTTACTGTACGAACATAAAAGTGAGTGCATGGAATGAAAATCACAACGCACACTTCTCAGGATGGAGAGCTCTCAAGACTTAGTTGTGACCTTCCTGAAAATTGGCTTGTATCCATCTTTTAGGGATTGCTAATCTTGTAGCTCATCCTTGTTCATTCTCTGCTGGAGCCAGAGGCACATTCATGGGCCATGCTTACCAACTATGTGCAACTCTGCAGAATAGATTATGCATCCACCTTGCCCCCTTACTTGCCATTCATCCCCAATTCCTCACTAGTTTTATTTTAAGAAGCAGCAGCAAACTGGTTGAAGGTTCAGACTTTGGAATAAGTTCCTTGGATTTTACCACTTACTGGTTGTATCCCCCTGGGCAAGTTATTAGTCTTTGTGCTTTAGCTAGTTTCCTTGCCTGTAAAATGGACACCATCATCATCATAATCTCTTTATGGGATTGTTATTAAACATTAAATTAAGTGAGATACTATATGTAAAGCACTTAGAACAGTACCCTCCAAAATAGTAGCACTAAATGAGTGTTTGCTTTTGTCAGTATATTGTAGTACATGTATCTCTATAAGCGGCCTCGATTATTTTGGGGAAACAAGGTAAAGATATGAACAAACAAAAAACAGTTAACTAAAACTGTAAGCACATGGAAGAGAGAGGCTGCGAAATAGAGAAACAGAGAAGGACAGGAAGAAATAAGACAAGAGAGAGAAAAGAAACGTGAGATGGAAGCTTTCTAGGATACAATTGAGAAATTGTTCTTTCTAGCTCAGTCTCAGGATTCAAAGCTCTAAACCAGCATTTCTGAAACTCAGGCATGTATCTAAATCACCTGGAGGGCTTATTAAAACGTACGTTGATGGGCCCTACTTACAGAGTTTCTGATTCATTTGGGGACCCAAAATGTGCATTCATAAAAAGTCCCCAGTAGGGGCTGATGCTCCTGGCCCAGGGGCCACACTTGGAGGTATCAAAGTGCCATCTCTACTAAATGCTGCTTAATATATGTTCACCCTTCAAACTCACCTGCCTATAGTAGCTTATTTTCAAACATTAAAGGGATCATGATAAATACACTGTATTAATTTAAATGTAAATCTTGTGGTTTATTTTCTTCGTGGGGGCTTAAACATAATTTTAAATGATTTAAAAAAATTTTTGAATGAATTTTTCTTCGCCCTTTACTGTTTATTTATTTTAATGATACTCATTACTTGTATAAAAAGAAAATGTTGGCTGTTAACTATTTTGAGAAAAACATATAATACGAAAAAGAAAATAAATCACCCAGAGTCCCGCTCAGACATAACTGCCCTTAATTAATATTTCCTTCTGGTTCTTTCTACACCTGCCTATCCAACAATCTGATAATGTTATGGCGTGCTTTATACAGTTTCATTCTGCTTTTTGTACTTAATCATGTTTGAATGTCATTAAATGTTCTTTTAAAGCATAGTTTTAGATGTTGTGTAATATTTCACGGTGTGGAAAATTATTGTCTCCTTTACTCACAAAACTTTTGTTTTTTTTTAAGCCTCTTATTTTACAACAGAAAAAAAAAACATTTTCCCCATTGTATCTATTTCTCTATAATTTAGAAATAGAAACAAACAAACAAAAAGCTTTTGAAGTGAGTTAAAATAATGCCATGATATTCACATTGATCAATCCAGAAGAGACTCTAACCCAGGACAATATAATCAAACATTATTTTAAAAAGAACCTTACAGCAGCATAAATATGCCATGTTAGATACAGAGCAGGAACTTGGTGAATGAGTTCTAGCGAAGTTAATACGAAATGCTTCATCTATACCAGCACTGATTCCTTTCCCTTGATTCTGATTTTTATCATAAAACAGTAAATAAGAACTCTACTTAATTTGTGTGCTGCTGACATACTTTGATGTAATAACCCTCACAAATTTCTATTAACTTCTATTTAATTCTACATTATAAGCATCTACTAAGATAAACAAGTGAGCCAGTTATTTTCATTTTAATTTGTCAAAGAGGAGAAATTTGGACTCTTGATATTCATCTTCAAACGTCTCCTTGAAACAATGTACTATAACAATATGAGGTCATACCACTAATTTCTTCAGTTTCATTTATTTTCCAACTCATCAAAAGTGAAAGATTATGTTCAAGTGATAGCATACAAGCCTCATAAATGAGACCAAACTCCAGGTTACTAAGAGATTTACTCATTTTCAAATCCTTAACAGATCATTTCAGACCATTCAGGAATTAATTTGAAACACACTTTCTTGTTTGTATTGAATTGAATCAATGAAAGCAAAGTTTTAAAGAGAACCCAAAAACATGATTACAACCTAAACTGCACTGATGACTCAACCCATTAAAAGAAAACAAAATTTGAAATGCTATTATATAGCATCGGTCAATCAGTACTTTTCACTGCAGTAAAGACTTGCTTGCTTGATCAAGAAATAAATCTAATTATGCTGACACTGAAAATATTTGAATATGATATCCTTACCAAATATATTATAGAAAAAGATGTATAACCTCTAAGTGGGGAAAGAGTATTAAATTTAAAAATTAGAAGTATTATAAAATGTAGATGCAAAAATTAACCATAAATTAAAATTATTCATATTCTTTTTCATTTATTTACCATGACTAGTTGTTTTGAACAAGATCATGGTAAAGTCTTAAAAACTACAATGTTTATGTATGCAGATTTTAATGCCCACAGAGCTGGAAATTCTAGTACAACTAGCACCACTATTTTCCATGTGAAAGATATGCAAAACAGGTCTCAAAGACATTTGGTTACTGAGCTGTCCAAGGTTACTCAACCAGCTGGAGACAGTGCAGGGATTTAGGTCACTAAATCTCAAGTCTTTAGATCTGTTTATAGATCCAAATGTTTCCTTTTTGGTTTTCTTTTCTTGACTTCACTTTCTACTTAGTTTTAGCTATGTTTATTTTATCATTATTATTAGTTTTTGGTTAACAAATTCACATGGTAGTCCATTAGTACAGAAATGAAAGCTGGGACATTTGACTTTGAGCTGTGCAGCCAGGGCATTCCTGAATCTGTATGACTTTCCTATGATTCTAGATGTGTTCCTATCCTGAATTCTTAGGCATGTGCCTAGAAGACAGGTTACTCAGAAGATCCACAAAATTACATTCCCAGCAAGAGTGTAGAAGGGAATCCCTTTTTTCCACACCCTCTCCAGCATTTATCGTTTGTGGACTTTTTAATGATGGCCATTCTAATTGGTGTGAGGTGATATCTCACTGTAGTTTTGATTTGCATTTCTCTGATAATTTGTGTTACTGAGTATCTTTCATGTAACCTATTGGCCATCATCCACTGTGGAAAACAGAAACAGACTCACAGACATAGAAAACAAACTATATCACAAAGCTACAGTAATCAAAACCATATAATACTGGCACAAAAAGATCACAGATACATGGATCAATGGAACAGGATAGAGAGTTCAGAAACAAACCCACATGCTCATGGTCAGTTAATCTACAGCAAAGGAGGCAAGA